ATGTTCATAAGACTGGGCATTTAGAAAAAAATAAATTCCCACTAATCTAAAATGAAATTTAAAACTACTGTCTTTGCAAATTTTAGGTATTGCTATAGACTATAGGTTTTAATGTTTTCAACAAATTTTTTCAATGGATAAAGGCCATTTTTAAGAGGCTATGATTGTTCAAAAACTTGTTTTTCGTTAATAACTTTATTATATATTAGCCAAATGATGAGAAATTTGGTGGTGTTTATCACTTTATATTTATGTATAACATATTAAAAAATCACGAATATCCGATCATAACTGACGAACTTTGTTCTCGAGCGTGACAGCCACCTTAACCCATCAGCGATGGGTAAAATTTTTTTCAAGTTTACGTATGCACCGTCTTGTTGGCACGCACCGGCAGTTTCCCCTGTTTGCGCCCGGCTCGATCGGTAGATTGTGAGCGACATATAGCACCTAAAAGCTTTTATTTTGCTAAAATTTATAAAAGTTTTTAAATTTTGAAGGTTTACTTTCACTTTAGGTGCCATTGCCTAAAATCTTTACCAACCTCCGTCCGACGAGCCAGTAGCGCGGGAATGGGCATGGCATGATGCCCCCGGCGTTTGGTCCACAACAGCCATAGCATGTATGTACGTGGCACCCACTGCCAATGGGTTAACAGGCACTTTCTTCGGTGTATAATACAATCCAGGTTGCAGCTAACAGCGAGAACTTGCTCGCTCTCCAGGATCTCTTCTTGCACGGCCCGCCACTAGCCTCCGGGAGCCAATCACCACGCTGGTGATTTATTTATTCTTGCTAATATCTAATCACCAACACTATGAGAAACACAGTAATAATAATCTATAAAAGCTAAATTACATGCAAATCAGGTAAAGTGTTCTATTTGTGTATAATTGGTAATTATGAAATGATTGGAACTCATAGTTACGGTTAACTCTGTCTGCTCTTCTGAAAGGCCATGATGGTCCACTGCTTACAAAAGTTCGTTGGAAACCGATACAGTTTATAATTATCCGCCCTTGCAACTCGACCATGATTATTGCATTACTAATATAGTTATTTGATAATGTTATCTGTAAGAATTTCAATGTAATATCCTGCAATCTACGGTGTATATGTGTGGTCTTTTATATTTTGGGTACCACTCAGTGCAGTGCAGACAACACATGATGTATTATGGTGCATGCGCAGATAAGTGTATACGGTTTGTCTACACTCGGATGTGGTCACTGCTCATTTGGTCAGGGGAAATGAAGTATTATTGGAAATGATGCTTAACCTATTGGACCCAGTTGCATCACAGAAATCACGGTGCCGAAAACCCAGGTTATGTTAGTGGCCAATGTCCTGGGTGTGCAGTGCAAAGGTTAGGCACGCTTGAACACCCATGGCTGGTGACAGGACTCTGTGACATCCCTTTGTAAAGTTAATTGGTGTAAAATATTTCAGTTTACACATGAACTACTTGGCATATTGCGGTAATGAGTTCTGTGTTCAGTGCAGAGTTTACTCTCGACATGTAAACAAGATGATCAACTTAGCTAGAATTGGGTTCTCACCTCTGTCCTTGTTTATGTATAGCGGAAACCCACCAAACCCCCACATTCTTGGCCCCGATAGCAGGGGACTAGGTTGGAAAAATCGCAAATGCTCGTAGTGATGCCTATCTTGAGTCGCAGAACATTGATATCAAGTGAAAACTATCACTGTCACTCGCACCATAAATGTCCTTTGCTCACAGGTCACAGCCCACATATTGTCATTGCTTGCAGGTCACAGCCCATACATTGCTGTTGCTTGCTATGACGTGTATGCGAAAAACAACATATTTTCCAACGGGGGCAGGGAGGGCATGAAAGGTTCTTGGGAAATTGCGGAGTTAAATATGAATAATCTATGCAGAATCAGTCACTATGTGGCTGGGTTTAGATATCAAACTGGGATGATTATTATCTATTTCTTCATTGTTAGCAATGTATAACCTAACCTCAAGAATAGCCTAGAATTGATACAACATTGAAAATGAAACATTTCATACCAGCATTCTGTAATGGAATGATTGCCATCAGCCTCTCAAACATCATACTGGTGATAATGCACATGCACAAAAGATTATTGTAAAGAACTGTATAAGTAAATCTTAAAACACATAAAGAAAGTACAATAACAATAGTAAAAGATTTTTAAAGATATAAGTGTGGAACAGCAGATACTTATAAGTAGCAAATCCTCATTTTGACAAGTGCATAGAAACATCTGAACTGCTTATCATATCATAGTAATGAGTTATGTGGTTAGTGTAATATTTTTCCTTGCAATATTAGCAAGATGAACAACTTAGTGGTGGATATGCAGCTGTACCTATTTGGTTTATGATTATAAGATGTCGGCGTTCATTTCCCTCTATCTCCATACATCTCTTAGTCAATGAAAGCCATAGTGTTGCTCCAATAGCTTCAGCATTGTCAAAATAATTGTTCATGTTAAATTGGAGTAAACAAGGATCATCCTTACAAAGGCTTTACATGTTTGAAGTTTTCCACAGCTTACTCTCAGATCTGAATAAAACTCTAGACAGTATTGAAATGGTTGCTTCATCTTTTCATGTACTTCCTTTATTGTGTTTTATTGTGTGCTGTGTGGTGCAGTAGTAGCATTCTCGTTTAACAGTTTCGTTGCCATGTGTCCAATCCTACGCGCTGCCGGTGAGTGGTAACCTGGGCTTGTACTTCCACATAGGGGTTAGTTTAGAAGCAAAATAAAGAGACAGCTTGTCACAGAAAAGGGTATCCATTTTAACAAATGGTATTAAACTAGATTATTATTATTGTTATTATTGATGTTTTGTAGTGTGGGTATCTTAGCTTAGGTATAAATAGTATACCAGAATTATTTGTAACTGTTAGGTATTCTTCATGATATATTTTTATGATATGCAATTTTATAGAATATCTGTAATGGTCTAGATGATGTATATATTATTTTGAGTGATTTTGTATAGAATGACCCTATACATTAATATATTTTATAAAATGCATACAGTGTCATGACATTGGTTATTGAATTTGGTCTTCTTAATCTTTAGGTTGACCGGCTTATTGATCGTGTTCAGTCATCCACCTTGCTAGAAGACAGAAGAGATGGGTGCAGAGCTCTCAAGGCAATGTCACGGAAGTATAGGGTGCTTGTTGGAGCACATGGCATGGATTCATTATTACAGGTTTGTTTAAACATGTTAAATTTTATATCTTGTGTATAATAGAAAAAATAGATAAACACTTACATAGTAATTCCACCCAGCTAAACACCAGTAGAGCATCCTTACAGAGTGCAGTGTATCATTTTCTCTCTCTTTCTGTCTATCAATGTCTCTCTCTCTCTCTTTCTTCTCTCTTTCTTTATTCTCTCTCTCTCTCTCTTTTTCTCTTCTCTCTTTCTTCTCTCTCTCTTTCTTCTCACTCTCTTTCTTCTCACTCTCTTTCTTCTCTCTCTCTCTGTCTTCTCTCTCTCTCTTGCTCCGTCTCTCTCTCTCTTGCTCTGTCTCTCTCTCTCTTGCTCTGTCTCTCTCTCTTGCTCTGTCTCTCCTCTTAGCTTCTCTCTCTCTCTGCTCTCGTACTCTCTCTCTGCTCTTGCTCTCTTGCTCTCTCTCTCTTGCTCTCTCCTATCTACTCTCTTGCTCTCTCTTGCTCTTCTCTTGCTATCTCTCTCTTGCTCTGCTCTGCATCTTGCTCTTGCTCTCTCTCTCGCTCCGCTCTTGGTTCTGGGTTGCTCTTCTCTCTCTCTTGCATCGACTCTTGATCGCTTCTTGCTCTCTCTTGCTCTGCTACGCATCTCGTAGACCTCTCTTCTGCTCTCTTGCTCTCTCATTGCTCTCTCTCTTCTCTCTCTCTCTTTCACTAATCTCTCTCCTCAGATCTCTCTCTCTCTCTCCTTCTCTCTCGTGGTTTGACTCTTCTTCTGCATGCCCTTCTCTGCTTAGACTCTCTCTCTTCTCTCGTGATGCTCTCTGCATCTCTCTCTCTCGATCTCTATGCGATCTCTCTCGAGATTGCGCTCATACTCTCTTGGCTACTCTGCATCTCCTGATCTCTCTCTTCTTCTCTCTCTCTTCACTCTCTCTCTGCTCACTCTCTCTGCAACTCGTACTCTCCTCGATACCTCGTGATGCCTCTCTCACTCTCTCTCTACTCTCTCTCACTCCTCTCGATTCTCTCTCTCTCTCTCTCTCTCTCGTCATCTCTCTCTCTCTCTCTCTCGTCTCGTACTCTTCTCTCTCTTCTCTCTCTCTCTCTCTCTCTCCTCTGATCTCTCTCTTTCGTACTCTCTCTTTTCTCTGCATCTCTGTTCTCTCTGCTCTTCTTCTTCTCTCTTCTCTTCTCTTCTCTCTCTCTTCTCTCTTCTCTCTCTCTCTCTCTCTCTCTCTCTCTCTCTCTCTCTCTTCTCTCTCTTCTCACTCTTCTCACTCTCTTTTCTTTCTCACTCATCTTTCTTGAGCAGAACTCATCTCTTTCCGTATCTCACTCTCTCTTTTTCTCTCTCTCTGTCTTCTCTCTCTCTGGCTCTTGTCTGTGCCTCTCTCTTGCTCTGTCTCTCTGTAGAGAGCTCTGCATCTCCTCTGGTGACTCTCTTGCTCCTCGTGACTCTCTGCTCGTCATTGCTCTCTCTACTCGCTGCTCTCTCTGCTCTCTCTTATTCGATCTCTGCATGTGCTGACCTTGCGTCTTGGCTACGTGACTCTATGAGAGTAGTGGTGGTGTGTCGCACTAGCCTCACTTTCATTGAGCTATTGCTCTTGCTGCTCTCTCGTCTGATGCATCGAGAGAGATTGACTCTGTGGACGTCTGCATCTCTGACGACTTGTAGCTCGTTGCTTTTTTGTGATCGTGATCGTAGCTGTTGCATTCTTGACTCTCTGCTTCTCCTTGATCTTTGCTGCTCTCTCTCGATCTGATGCTCGATTGCTCGTCTCTCTGACGTGATCTGCATCGAGCAGGAGTAAC